GAGGTTAGTAGGTAGGAGGTGGGGTTGGGGCTTGAGGTGGGAGGAAGGACAGGTTAGGGAGGTGGGGACAAGCTGGGCTGGTTTTGGCATGCAGTAGGGGGAGGGGAGATTTTGAAGCTTGTGAAGTCCACATTGATACCATTGGGCTGCAGGGTTCCCAAGCGAAATATGAGGTGCTGTTCCTGCAACCTTCAGGTGGCATCGTTGTGGCAACTGCAGGAGGCCCAGGATGGATATGTGTCTAAGGAATGGGAGGGGGAGTTGAAATGGTTCGCGACTGCGAGGTGCAGTTGTTTGGTGCGAACCGAGCATAGGTGTTCCGCAAAGTGGTCCCCAAGCCTCTGCTTGGGTTCCCAGATGTAGAGGAGGCCACATCTGGAACAGGGGATCTATATTATTTGTTGCATTACTGTTTGCTAATGAGTGTGGCACAAAAATGCTACATGAGTCATAATTGGTGGATATTTAATTTAATATAAAATGATGTTCTGTAAAAGCAACAGGATGATAGTCTCACACTTGCAGAGAAAATACAATACATAAATGGGCCAATTAGCCCAACTTGGCCAGTATCTGTGCTCCACGTGTACCTCAGACCAACCCTCTTCACCCCATCAATAATACCTTCTATTCCTTTCTCCTTTACGTGTTTATCTAGCTTCCCCTTAAATGCAAGTTAAATTTTAATGTTTAGAAGCTTCTACAATTGTTCTGGGGCTGATGTGCCTGTGGCTTCATGCATTTGAGCTCTGTACTGTACTCCCAACCGTTGAATAATCAACATTCACTGGTGTGGTTTTATCTCTTGCTATTTCTCTCAGCTGCTGTATGTTCTAATTTTATAAAGTCTGACTGATCTAATAATTGTCTACTTTTTTTTGGTTCTACTGATCCCCAATTCCCATCTGGGGAATTTTTTTCTTTAACTCTTGCTCCTGATCCTCATTGTTTGAAGTCCCATGTGCTCCCAAAAAATGTTATATTTTTGGAGATCAGGATTTTGCCTCTTTCAGTTGCTGAGCGATGAAAGACTAATCCTACTTTCTATTTTGTTTGACAGCGTTGAGGTGAAGAGACCGAAATACTGAGGCTGGAGTGGTGTTGCTGTTCCTACATTCCATGATTTTGGTCGCTCATTGACAACAATTTTTAAGAGACTGTGGAAAGGTTTTTTTAATGCCTTCTCCATCTAAATAAGAGAAAAATCAGCAGATGAAGTTATCCCAATTTGAAACGATTAAAAAGCCCAATCATCTCATCCCTATTAAATCTGCAGCGGTGGTGATCTGCAATGATTTTCATTTTGAAACATTTTGACGCTTGAGAGAAGCCTTTTCGGGAGGGGAGATGTTTAAAGAAGCTTGTAACAGCAATCTATGTGTACTTTCTGTGTAGAGTTTGACCTCTTTACATTTCATCTGTCCTTTATGCATAGAAAAGCTTAACAGATTAAATCTCTGTTTAATTATCGACATGCGAGTCACGGGCGGTTTGTGGCCAATGTTCCAAGGACCCTTGGTCTATACTTTTTTTTCACCTGGAGGTTAAATTCACACAGCATTTAAAGCACAGATCTGCAGCATAGCTTCCTGGACTCTGATGACCTTGAAATCACTGCTGTACATCGCTGAAGGAATGCGGAAGAGATCAGAAATACTGCAGACAGCAGACCATCAGCACCTGACAGAACAGTCATTGACCAGTCAGTTATTAGAGTGTTTCTGATAAGCACTCTTCACAAAAATTGTCTAAGTCTCTCTGCCCTCTTACTCATTAATGTCAATGCTATAGATTTTTGGTTTTATTTGCAGATTTCCGTTTTCAGCTTGCCAAAACCTCTCTTCCCCCTGGAAATATGTATCTTCATACAGTGCAGGAAGTGATCATTCAGCCCATCATGCCTGTGAAAGACTTATCCCCTGAGTCCCACATTCCCAAATCTTTCTCAAAAGCTTGTTTTGAGTGTATTACAAGATGGTTTCTAAAGCAGCCAGTTCCTCTCATGTTTTGTTTTGATCCAGTCAAACTGAAGGGTGTTTATTGCTAGGGAATTTGTACCCGTTTTCAGGTACAGTGTTGGCATTGCAGGTTCCCAGGTATAGCTCACAACACAGCCAGCTACAGGCTAAGGCTCCAGCTCAATAAAGTGCCCCAAGCCGATCCTCACAACAGAGTTGAGTTTAACAGTGGGGATGACAAGTCTCCAGGCCCAAATGGACTTCATTCTAGGGTCTTAAAAGAGGTTGGTAATGCTGTAGTAAGTCCATTGGAGGTGGTTCAGAGGAGGTTTAGTATAAAATAACTCATTTTCTAAGCCCTATCAGTTCTGAAAATGAGGCACACTGGACTCAAAATGTTAACTCTGTTTCTCTTTCTCTCTCTCTCTCTCTCTCTCTCTCTGTGCAGATGCTGGGCTTCTCCAGCATTTTGTGTGTTTGATACTAGATTGTTACCTGGAATGAGTGGATTGTCTTCTGGACATATGTGAAACAGGCTGGGCTTAAAAGAGTGAAATCCTGAATGGTCTTGACAAGGTAGACGTGGAAAGGTGTTTTCTCTTGTGGGTGACTTCAGAACTGGGGAGCATTCGAGATTGCCCTTTCAGGACTGAAATGTTCTGAGTGTTTTGCAGCTTTAGAACTCTACCTCAGAAGGTGATGGAAGCAAGTTTAGGTAAGTTAGGTAAGGGAATCAAGGATTATCGGGAAAGATGGGTATATGGAATTGAAAAAACAAACGGATCAGCCACATTGTTATTGAATGGCAAAGGAGGCACAAAGGGCTGAATGGCCTTTTCTCCTATTTAGTTTGCTTGTGGGAGATTTGGACTGTGTTGTAGCATCATGACAAGAAATTTGATCACTTTTGCTTAAACTGTCTTTGCAAACTTTTTTAAAGATCAGATGGCTGGGCAAAGTACCAGATACGGAGGTGCTAACCCAGGCTGGCCTGCCAAGCAAACACACCTTATTGAGCTTGTCACACTGGGTTGGGCACTCACTCGCCAGAGTGTGCTATCCTAGCTTTCAAAGGAAGGTCACTTAGAAGATTCCACTTAGGACTTTTGAGGTGGAATTTGACTCCCTAAAAGCTTGCCCCAGACTTTCTCCACCAAGCTGCAAATCTTCTAAAACACAGTCATCTAAGATAACCTGACAAATTTTTTACCGGAATCTCTGAGCGCAGACTAGCTTCAGCAGTCATGCACGCACCTTGTGGTATAATGCAGACAATGACAATGGTCATCTCTGCCTCAAAGATCAAACAAGATATACTTTAGTTTCCCTAGCTAGTTTATCTTTAATCCTATGCTTGTCTGTAACCTTGCGCAAGATGCTGTTTGGTACCTTTGCTGTAGAAACATACAGTGTAACAGGGGGACATTGTGCACTGCCTTTGTGCTAGCTTTTCGAAAAGAATTTCTAACAAGCACTCATAACAAAGCCTTTCATAATTTTGAACACCTCTGTTAAATCTTTGCCTGTAACCTTACAGCAGCCTGTGCCAGCTCCTTGAAAGGGCAATCCAATTAATTTTCATTTGAAGGAAGGTCAGTCACAACAGTTTTATCATAATTGGCAAAAGAACCAGAAGAGAGTTGAGAAGTTTTCAGTGCAGCAAGTTACAATAATCTGGAACACGCTACCTCAAAGGATGATGGAAGCAGATTTGAATAGGGGTTTTCAAACAGAATTGGATATACATTTGGAGGAAAATACAGGAAAAGATCAATATTGGGTGGAACTAATGAGAGAGCTGATCAGAAAGCTAGCATAAGCATGATGAACTAAATGGCCTTGTGTGACATCATTGTAGTTAAACCATCCACCTTGCGTTTTAACTACACCAGTATCTCTCACTCCTCTTGATATAGGTGCAACTCAGATTTTCACAATTTAACTGAGAAGAGTGCACTGATAATCTTACCCCACTGTTCCACAGGCTGTCACTAAATGCATGAAATTCCAATGAAGCCACCAAAATGACCAATTTTCCTGGCTGCCTGCTACACAGCATAAAGGTCGTTCACACAGTTTCATCAGTAACAGAAAATAGCTATTTATTGTAACAAAATAACACAAAATTATTTAACAAATGCCAGAGAAAAGTAAAGAATTCTCATTTACCACAATGCAACTTAATCTGTACCTCTTCAAAATTGCCAAATATAAAAACACTCATCATAGTTAAGACACAAATGACAATGGTTTAACACATTTACTATGGAGGGAAAACATACAGCATGACCAAATTTCCAATGATCAGAAGTCCAGATTTCGAGGGTGCATGAGATTGTCTGTCTTGTGGTTTTTAGCACTGATGACACACTAATGTCTGTAGAGTGATGTTAGTTCTTCATTTCAATAGTTAATCAAGTGGACCTAGGTCTTTGCTTGTTTTAAATGACTTCCTTTTAAGCTTTCTTAATTTTTCTGTCATTTTCCTGCACAGAGGTAGAGAGTGATGGGTGCTTTCCGTCTGCAGCTTTGGGTGTTCCTTTCTTCTGCTGTCTTGACCCTTCTAGCTTTATAGCAGCTCAATCAAAGAGCTGTTGTCAGGCAGAATTCCCTTAACTCAAAAGACTCTCTGCTTTAAAAATCAACAATGATGTTAGATGGCCAAATAACCACTGCCAAATGTTGGGAAAACCCATCTGGTTCGCTAATGCCTCTGTAGGGAAGGAAACCTGCCATCCTTACCTCATCTGGCCTATACATAACTTAAGACCTACCCCAATCTAGTTGACTCTCAACTGTCTATGGACACTAAAGGATGGGCAATAATTGCTGGCTTGCGCCCACATCCCATGAATGGATAAAAAGAAATCATACTGCACAGTTCATAAAATATGCAGCTTTTGACTTTCACATCGCAAAACTCTCCTGCTATTTCAGTTTACAGTCCCAAAAATGTGGTCTCTTAAAAAGGTAAACACCAGGCCAACTATTTACCTTAACTTCATGGAGAGCTGATTAGTGTTAATGAAGCTGTGATGTTATCTGGCTGAACTGGCGTTGCCTTGTTCTAAGCTGTACCCTGACCTGATAGTATGCGTGTGGACAATACTTATCTGATTTTGAATGGTTCAGTGGACTTTCCCATAGAGATTAGGCAGTAGCTGCTGTTATGTGTCCATGTTGAGCTGGATTCAGGTTAGCTAATGTTGCAAAGTGAGGCAAATTATTTCTTTTAAGTGGCATTTACCATGTGGTGAGCAAAAGTTGTTCCATCAAGGCTGCCCTGTGCTGAAACGCCTATTCTGCAAAACCTCACCCCAATTTCTCATCCTTTTCCCTCCGCAAATACCATAGACCCCAGCCCAATCGAATTCCCATGGGAGGTCAGAGAAGAAAATGATCCTTGTTCAAAATTGTTTGAAATTCCTCCCCAATCCACCCCAGTGCCAATCAAAAACGTTTCACTCTGTCCTAATATAGAATCATAGAATCCCTATAGTGCAGAAAGAGGCCACTAAGTCTCCAAAGAACAGCCCTCTGCCCCACATAACACCCCCACCACCCTGCCCCCCACCAAAGTCTCACCTACCTTCTCTGATGCAGTTTTTATAAATTCAGTTCACTGTTGAGTCTGTTGCTATATATTTGTTTCAAATTGACCTTTTCATTCAGGTTTTTAAGGGAACACTTTCTTTTAGAACACTCACTTCAAAGTTTAAATCATGTATCACAGAAGGAAGTTGTCTTTCCATGCCAACCTTTTAAAAAAGCTACCCACTTTGTCCGCTAGCTCTTCATGTTGTTTCTTTTCCAAAGATTTCTCCAGTTGTCCTTTGGAAGTTACTATTGACTCTGCATCCACAGATTACTGCTTTCCAGATGCTAAGTCAAGAAATGGTTATGACCCTCTCACATAACATCACCTGAATTTCTGGATTAATAGTCTAATGATAATGATTTACATGGGAATCAAGGATTATGGGAAAAGGGCAGGAAAGTGGACATGAGTTGTGTCAGATCAGCCATGATCCTATTGAATGGCAGAGCAGGCTCAGGAGGCTGAATGGCCTACTCCTGCTCTGACTTCATATGGTTTTATGGGCGCACTGCATTTCATAAAGAAATTGGATGTCCCAAAGTGCTTTACAGCCTTTTAGTCTTTTTGAAGTTTGTCCCTGTACGGAGGCGTGACACCAATTTGGCACAAACTACAACATCATATTGGCCAGATAATCTATTTTTAATCCGTGTTGGTTGTGCAATAAATATTGGCCAAAACATCAGGATGTCAGACCTCCACTACGCTCTGTTGAAGGAGCATGTGTGATATCATTGAGATCCACTGAAGTGGAGAGATGGGGTCTCGATTTAACCTGCTGCAGAGATGGGTGGAAGTGCTTGGTGAGAGGAAGAGAGAGACAGGAAGAATAAATGAAATGGTCTTCATGACTCAGCCCTTTGAGTATAGGAGTTAGACAGTCATGTTGAAGTTGTACAGGACTTTGGTGAGGTCT